GGGCGTAGTTGTTAAATCGCCTGCAATGACTTTCCCTTTTGCCAGCTTTCTCCCACTCCCCCCGCCGGGAGGAGGGTGGTGGCTGGGTGGTGCGGTGCCCGTCGAGTGTTTGATCTTGCCCGACTGTTTATTTGACTTCACGCTCGATTGCCAAAAATAATTTGATATGAAAGAAATACAGTTATATTTTTTTAATTCGGCAACTGATTGAAAAATCCTCAATCAGAAACTGCGCTTTCATTTATCGCGTTTTTCGAGCGGAAAGCCAGTGGCCATCGGGATTATTCGCCCAAATGTTATTAAAATTACAAACTACACAACTCTCCTAAAATCAACACACCAGAGATACAGTATTTGTGTACTGTGCGCCTATATTGTTACGGCTTTTCGCACAGCGGAAATAAAAAAAGGACCCAGGGTCCGGCCGGCCAAGTTAGGGGCAGTTACTGGACCCACTCGCATTCATTTGGCCAAATAAAAAACATTCAATGAGCCAAGCTTTCACTTGGCCAAATAAAGAAAATTGGCGAGAAAAGCGACGGCCATTCAAATGGCTTTCAATGGCCGTAGCTGCTCCTTCCTTCCGCCTTTCGCTTCCAACTTAGTGGAACCCCATTTGATTTTGAATGAACTTGGTGAAAATTGCCGGCCCGGCCCCCTCCATTCGTTTATTCCGAAAGGGACGAAAAAAATTAAATACACGCAATGCGAATGAGCCGGCAAAATCACACACAGTCATAACAAGCCAGAAAACAAGCCAACAGCAACTACCAAAAAAAGCATAAAGAGGGAAATGGCCAAAGAAAACTCTGAAAATGAAGCTCATTAAAAAAGGGCGGCAAGAAGAGGGTTCCAGTAATTTGAAGGCTTCTCCTTCGATGGACAAATGAAGGACTTTTCTGCAACTGAAAAGAGTCGCCTCTTATCGAAACAACGAATTGATCTATACCCTTAACTAGGGAGAGTTTTATAGTGTTCTATTTTAGTATTTTATGGAAAATGTACTCACCTACTCACAAGTAACCTCCAAGTTATTAGTATGATTAGTTCTTCCAAATTCCTTTTAAAACTAATGCTCTTTAATAACTTTCCTTTACAACAAACTCCCCAAAAATGTCATCGACTTTCCCACAATAGAGTATCCAAAGCCAATGAGTGAACTCGCTCCCATTCACGCCTCTGCAGCATGCCTTTCCACAGCGAGGAGGAACAACATCGGCAACTAGCAACTATACAAAGCGAAACTTTCGACTTCATTTGCATACATAGCGCTCTCGAGAAATGTAATAAAAAATGATAAAATCCTCGGGAGAGTCAAGTCCGGCAGAAGCCACACAAGCCCCCCGACCCCACAGAGGACAGACACACATACACACATACACACACATTAGCGCGAAGGACAACCCTAGTGCCGCGCCCCTTGACCCGTTGACGCCCCCCTCGCAAGTTGGTAGCCTGTGCGTGCTGTCCCCTGGTGGAAGAACCGGCAGCCAAAGCGAAAGCCAAAGGCGGACCAAGTCAGAACCAAAACCCCGAGCACCGCAAACGAACCCAGATCCCAGCTACTAGTTACAAAAATGGCACTGGAAAAAATATTTGTAATATAAGCACAAGAACTTCAAAGGTTTTTAAAAAAAATAATGGAAATTTCTTACTGTGTATTAGCTAACAGCTAGTCGCTCCCCGTTGGCCGGCTGCCCGGTGTTGGCCAGTTGGCCAGGCCAGGCCGCCAAAAATGAGCTGATTTCAAACAAAGCTCCACTCGCGCTGGCTGCGGCATTCATGGATTCCTGGTGACCCCAAGGGGCAGGGCCTGGTGCATGGGGCAGGGATAGAGTGGCGGAGTGGCATAAAAGTCCGAAGTGAAACAAAGGCAGGAGAACTAGGCCAGCAGCTGTGCTGATTTGGGGGCGTGCAGAAACTTTCGGCGTTTGTGTTGATATTTCCCCAAAAAAAATTTATAAACCAGGAGGGAGAAAAGAAAAATGAGAAAAAAATTGGTGGAAAGTGGGTGAAAAAACAGCAGCCCCTACGGGAGGCAGGATGCAGGAGGAAGCGATTTCTTTGCGCTTTTCAATAAACGAGTAACGAGCTGGGAGTGAGCCCGGCCAGCATGGGTTAATGTGGCAGGCAGCACCTAAAACCAACCAATTAAAGCGAATTTTTTGCCTCTTTGGCGGCCTTTTTCCTTTTCAAAGTTTTGCGGGATGGGCTACCGGTTGCGGGCGGACTATGGGCGTGTATTAAATTTAAAATAAATGTTTTCCTTTTGGCAGAAGCAGGGCACCGGCAGGGGCTAATGAAACGCCATTTAGGGAGCCCGACTTGATGTATGACAACCGCTGTCAGGACTCATTACGGGAGATCCAAGAAGGAAACCCAATATACCCGGTCGAAATCCCTTTAAAGTGCAAACATCTTGCTCAAACAAAGCCAATCAAAAGAGTCCGCTGGAAGTAAACACACTGGACAACTAATTATGAATATGTTTCCATACACACAGGACGCACGGGACGAACTGGACACCCAGGACCCACTGGGGACACTCTGGCATTAAAACTGACCAAACAAAGTTCCAATTGAGTCTAATTTGGCTGCCTGCACACAAAAGCGTCATGACGCACACACATGCACTTATGCAAATAGTGCTGACCGAAAACTTATGGGTGAATGGGTGCCGAGTGAGGGGGTGAGGGGACCAAAGGATATTCCGGAGGTCCGTCCGACATCGCCATGAAAATGACAATAATAAAATTTAATGTACACACAGACGCGTGTGCATGTAGTCGCCTATTAGGGGACTACCCCCACCCCATCACCCCATCACCCCCTCACTGTGTGTATGTAAATGTCCTTTTGCAAACCGTAAAAACGTTTCCGACAGTTTTCCACCCACCGCCCTGGATCCTTGCACCACCCTCCTCCGTATCTCCGAAGTGAAAGAAAGCTACAGCGTCATGCCGGAGGAAGGAGGAGCTGGCCAGAGTTGAAAGTCATCTAGTTGACTAACAGCCGCAGTTCTCTGGCTATATATGTAAGACACATATACATATATATATGTATATATAAGGGGTGTGGAGTTCATTGCATGCCAGAAGAGGCAGGGGGGGCACAAGATACATAGTATGTGTGGTGGAGTGTGTGCAGCAGACCAAAACACTTCCTACCGCTTTGGCCAAGTATCATTAAAAATATAAAAGTATTTCATGCCAGAGTCTAGCGTCCTATCTAAAGGACTCTCCTCTCCCTACTTACTTTTTACTTTTTTTTTTGTAATTTCTATTTTTTTAAGCACTTTTCGGTACGTTGTCTGGGGGCAAGTCATTGTCATTTGGTCAGCTGAAAAGCTGAAAACAGCTGCCAGTTTCCAGAGCTGCACCACCCACGGCCCACTGCCCACTTGCCCACCAGCCCGTCTTCCTGGGTCACTTCATTATCATGTTAATTTTGTTGTAATTTGCTTGCTAAATGTTGCCAAGTCGTTGGCCATTTTTCCAGCATTTTTCCGGACTGGCTTCCAAGAGTCCTTACCCCGCTCTCCATCCTCCCCCTCTGGCTGTGCATATTTAACTTTATTTATGGTTTTTGCCGGCTTTCATATGGAAAATTAGAATTTTTGACTTGGTCTCCAGTCCTCTTCTGGCCCGGCACTAATTTGCCAACTATTTTGCAAAGCAAAGTTTCCTTTTGTCGTTCGGGGCAAGTTTTGGCCCGACTACAGAAATATGCCTTGGATTATTGTTGTCAGAGCTCGAGGGGAGAGAGCGAGTCCCTCCTTGTGGCCTGGCTCATATGCCAAATGGCCCATTGTGTCTCTGCGAGCTGATAATTATGATGTTACATGTGTGCCTCTGTGTTAGTCAATATTTTTTGTAACGCTTATGCTAATTATGCGGCATGTTGACATGGCACACTGGGCCACAGTGTTTCTGGCCCCTAATTACACCCACGGGGGCGGCCAATTTTCCCCTTTTCATTCCAAGCTTCCTTCGGGAGACCCATTGGAACGTAATTTGATTTATTCATTAGACCATTGCCGGCGATTAGCTCCACTCTGGCACTTGTTTATCCGCTCAATTTGGGGCCCAGTCAGGCCAACTCCTCTAACCAAACAGCAAATTGAAAGGGATTGCGATTGGGGGAATGAAAAGCAGCCACAGCAGGAGCTGGAGCAGTAGCTGGAGCCGGAGCCGGAGAGGGGCTATTCCACGCATGGCCAGACTGACTACAAAATAATTGACAGCAGTCCGGAAAGAAGGAGTTGGAGTAGTTCGCTGTCCGTCGGAGTGACAGACGCAGGCCAGTCAGTCCGGACGGGAATGGTCAAAGCCCAGGCCAACAAGCTGCAGCTGCAGTCGCTCCGCAATGAGAGGAGGACGCTCTCTAAATTGGAAATGTCATTGAGGCGTTTAACGTGAGCCGGCCCCAATGACAAGGACATCGACGTCCGACTCAGACTCCCACTTCCACCTCCCACCAGCCTCAAACTGAAACTTTGAATCCAACTTCGTAGCCGGAGTCGAACGTGGGCAAAATCATTTAAAAGCGGCTGGCAGAATCCAGCCAAGCTGAATACCAAGTTTTTGAGATGTACATTGAGAGAAATAGTATATAAAATAAATTATATAAATATACTATCGTTAGAAGCAATGGAAATAATTTTTTTGCTAAGTTTAATTTTAATTATATTTTTTATACATTCGATTTATTTTAATTACAAACCTTAAACATTTTCTTGCCCTGTACCTGATGCTGGAATAGCAATCGGCCATCAAATGACAGCCAATTGTTGCAGTCGGCCACTTAGCAGCTGGGGGAATCATTCGCTTACCTGGCCAGACAGACCAAAACCAGGACTTGAACCCGGATCCGGACATGAACGGTTTTGGGCGACGATTTGACAAAAGCAATTTCAAGGATACTATTCTCCCCCTTCCCCTCCAGCCTCTACCAGATATAAATTTAACCCCGCTCTTGTTTTTTTCTCGTGTCCTTTGCAGACAACAAATTCATTTGCGACTGTCGGCTGCAGTGGATCTTCGAATTGAAAAATCGCACACGTCACCTGCAGCTGCGTGATTCCCTGGAAGAGTTGTCCTGCTCGCTCCAGGACCCCAAGCTGTCACATTTCGTCGACCCGGTGCCGTCGCAGATCCTGGACGTGCTCAATATCGGAGGATTCACGGCGATTGGCAGCAACAGCGCCAGCATGGGCGGAGTAGGAAACAGTGTGGTGGGCAGCAGCTACGGCGGCATGGGTCTGGACGATTCCCGCAAGCACTCATCGAGCAGATCACGACAGGCTCTGCGAGGACAGCGACAGTTTGCCTCCAGCCAGGAGAACACAGTGGAGTCCAAGATGCGGAAGCGGCGCAAGAGGCAGGAGGCTGCCCAGAAGGAGAAGGACCTGGCGGCCGTGGCCCCCACCCACAAGCGGTACGACTACTACGATGACAACAACGGAGGCCTGTCCCTGGGCCATGGGCTAGACCTGGACGATAACCTGAACCTGCACAAGCAGGGATCCTTCTACGGAGCCGCATCTCCGGTGGCGGGACACAACGATGTGGATGTGCTTCTCTCCTCGCCGCACTCCTCCGCGGGCGACGCCCTTGACGCGATGGCCAACAAGAATACGATCAACGTGAGGCTGTTCCTGCTTAAGCCGGAGATGCTGCCGTGCCACGACGAGCTGAGCGATCCCACCGAGCTGCCCCTGTCCCGCGATCTAATGGACGTGCGCAGCAATGTGGGCCAGGAGTCGTCGCTGGGCGGTGCCCCCGCCCTGGCCAAGGGCTTCGGCCTGCTGGTCGTCCTGGTAGCTCTGGCAGTGAGCCAGGGCTGAATCGCCGGTCAGAGCTAATCTGGGTCCCTGAGTTTGGTTCTACATTGTACATACTGGCTTGGAGATGTGGTGCCCTTGGGAAACGAGCTTCAAAACGCAAACAAAAATTAAGGAAACACACGAATGGCTGTACCAGCTACTGTCCTGTAAATATGTAAAAAGAATGGGGTAATGGAAAACGAAATTCGATAAACTTACTATTATGAACCTAGCTGATAGCTGTAATGATAGACTCGACTTTTCACCAACAACTTCAGCAGCAGATTCAGATACAAAACCGAAAACAAATCTTAAAGTCTAAACCTAACAGAAACTTAAAGCCCAAAACGAATCCAAAAGAGAACCTCCGAGCAAACTGGCGTTTCATTTAAAAGAAAAAACCACAAAGATACTCAACTACCGCTACACTCTACGAGATAGACATAGTTTAAATGGTTAGTTAGTTAGCCATAGAGTCACATTTCGTTTACTTGAGCAAGGTACATACTACAGTTAAACTTGGAAAGCGCTAAACGTCTTACATGGAGACACAGAGCTGGCTAACAAACCAGTCATAGAGGCATGCCTGTAAAAACCAGAACGCAGAACAGAAACCGCTGAAAGTTGCAACGATAGCCGTTAGTCGATAGGAGATAGTCTATAGCAGATAGCAGATAGGAGTTAGTTAATAAATGTACTAGGTAATGTACCCGGCCACCCGAAGTTCTAGTTAGAGTCTAAGTCAGCTTTTTTAGTTGTAAGTCGACACCTAATGCTTTGCTTCCCTAGAACTGTCGCCTAAATTTTCCAAACTAAACCCCCCTCGTGCACCCCTCGGAAAAGTGTCACTTTCTCTCGGGGGAAACAACTTTCCGCTTCACTCTTACTTTTGCCGCACCAGAAACCAAAAACAAGATAAAACTTACATTGCGAATTTATATAACTTATTTGGATAGATTCAAATTATAGAAAAAAAAAACAACGGAATAACAAAAACAAAACAGAAATATGCATAACGATTTTTGTAGCTTAAGACTGAATATATAAAGGTAAATTATGCTAAAATATACAAAATATTTATATGGAAATACTGTACTGTATGTTTAATTGTATTGTAATAAATGCAAGCTGGGGGAAAGGGTAATGTCATTTCTATATATTAAAATATATACACACATGTATGGATATATAGAAACCAAAGTAAGCCGATCGAAACCAACAGATTCGTGCATTCAAAGTAGGATGAGTGCATGGAATGCATATTACACTTTATTTGGCAATTTATTACCTATTTAATTATGCACAAAATTATGATTTAAAATAAAACAAAACAAACACACGAAAAACTAAAAAAAAAACTTTTTGATTAATGTGTTTAATAATTCATATACAAAGAGAAAGTAAAGTAAGAGTATAAATGCAAATTTATGTGTAAAAATAACAGAAAAAATTTACATAAATATACTCCCGAAAAGTGGGAGTAGAACAGAGAAAGCATAAGGAGCAAGCATAGTTTTAGTGGACAATCAAGGATAAGTAAAGTGAAAGTAGAAAGCAAGAACATCTGGGAAATCCCTGAATCAGCAGAACACAGAAAACTTAGAAACCCAGAAAAGCGGAAAAACGTCGTGGAAATCTCTCAAGAAAAGCGAAATAATAGAACAGACGTTGGCGAAGCAAAAAAAACACAAAACTATTTTAAGTAAATGGATATAAGCTAAATGTATTTAGTGTTTTGATTAGCTAATAAGACCTTAAACACACACAAGAAAAAACCAAAAAACAGTACTCTATAAATGTGCAAGTTAAGAATTTGAAGAAAACAGTGAATTAAAACAGAAAACTCTATCTAAGCAGGGCACTACGTTCATTATTGTTGATACTCATCCACACTTAACACTCATTTGATTCGATTGTCACGAAGTTACTATGCTAGAGATTGTGAAGGGATTTTAGTTGCCTCAAGGAGTCGGGCGAGATTCGATTGACTTAGCCACTCTGTCTAATGCATTAAATGCTTGTAATAAATTAATAACAACATGGACACTTATTTAACACTTAGCCTTAAGAATTGAGAAATTTTAACCAAAGATTTTACGTTCCTCTCGTTGCCTAAGAAAACACTTGGTTGTCCCTTGGTTTTGCGTGTATGTGCCATTTCATTTATAATTTTTTCGGCTAGGAAGCGGCCCAAATTAGGAGCGAGTGACGTAATTTTAAAATATTTAAAACTAAACGTAGCTTACTTAATTATTTTAACTTAAATGTACACAGAGCGAAAGTGAAACCAAGCAGCAAATAATATAACCGAAATATAAATGTACTTGATGTAAGAAGTTTGCTAAATTGAAACCAAAACCAAAACTGAAATGTCAACCCCACAGCCCAACCAGAAAGGACCCAGGACGCGATGGCCACGAATCGGTGGGCGGCGACGGGGCGGGGCACGATCTGCAGAACTATATAAAAAAAAAAGAAAACATTCCAGTGGCAATATTTTGTTTAACTTTAACTTTTACTGGCAATTGCCTAAGAGCGCCCCGCCCTCGAAAAGTTTCCGCCACTCGTCGTGGTCTGGCGAAATGGAATCCAGAAAACAATTTTGAAAGAAAAACCATCTAAATATATTTAATGTAAAAAAAATAAACCCAAACTGTGTTTCTCTTCCTATTCATTCGTTTTTAGCAAAATTGTCTATACTTGTAGGTTGTACGTCTATGGCTCTGGTTTTTGGGTAAAACTTGAAATATTAAAATGCTTCCTGGACCGGAGCCGCCTGTTTATCACTTCCGCAATTTAAGCGCGCACAAAACATTTCGGCACATGGCTCGATGGCGCCGTAAAATATGCAAAGCCCCAGCCAAGCACAATTCCCGCAGAAATTCAGAAATTCAACGCCGCAGGACTCGCGCCTTTGTGCGCCAGTATTTTGCTAAATTTCATTATTGACTGAGACAGCCAGCTGAAAGCCATGCTGCCGAACCCGAACTCAAACCCAAACCCCAAGCCAAAACTCGATCCGGCGAAAAAGAGCATACGCTTTCAGCCATTCAGGTTGGCATAAGAAATTGCCGGGCCATTAATGCCTCTCAGCTCACATCACTCATACGCCGCGTTGTCCTAATAATAAAGTTGTATGCACATCGTTTGGTGGGTGGCGGTGAGGTGAGGGGGGATAAGCCGTCATCGTCGCCCTTGCTCGCATTTGTGGGCGTGGTGCAATGCACACGAAAGTGGAAAGTGTATTGAGTGGAAAATGGCGGGCAAAAGGGATAACCCAACACTCCTTCTACCACTTCTCCTGCTACTGTTCGAACTCCTGCTCCAGCTCCAGCTGTTGCTGCTGAAAAGTGATAAATTGGATTGAAACGGTGGAGCAGATTTATTGATTTCATTGGGCGGCTGTTCGATGTTGGCTGCGGAGCAACCGAGCGGCACGTCAAATTGAATAGACGCCACCGGCGACAAAAATCAAAAACAGATATGCAAATAAGGCGCACACACATGTAAAAACAGCGGGACATATTACATACAGATGTGGTCAGGAAATTAGCGTTCTTATTTACGATATGTTTTACTCCAAGAAGTATACGTTTACTTAATTTAATTTAGTTTATAATTTTTTAATGAAAATTTTTCATTACCAAAATCCTTACCCTTCTCTAAGCCCTTGTGTTTGTAACTAACCTACACCATTTGTTTAAAGTTTTATAAATAGTGTTTTAGTTTTCGAAATTTTTAGTTTCCTTTAGTAATTATTTGTAGCTGTTTTTTGTAAATTCATTTCAACCCTAAGAAAAGGACTCACCAAAAACTTGAAATTGAGAGGTTTCTCAAATAAAAAGATTTTTAAACGATGATTCCATATTTTTGGAGATCTATTAGGTGTAAATATCTATTAGGTTTAACTAAGCCCCTTTCTTGACACTATAATCCTACCCGCAGCTGTACTAGTTATCCAGAAAATGGCGTAGAAAATGGCGAGCACCCAGGAAGAGCGCCACGCGCTTTTTGCTGCTTTCTGCCGGCGTGTCAAATTTTTGCAACTGATTATGCCAAAGGCGCCAGCTCCGGAGTTCACAATGCATGCATGAGCGGGTGCCGGGTTGGTGGGTGTGGGCTTTTTTGGGAGGCAAGTGCTAGTGGGTTTGCGTCACACTGGTTGCCAGACACGTTGCTAGACGATGTTATCAAACAAAACGACAACGACATCGGCAGCAGCAAAGGCAAAAGCAACGGCATCGGCAGCTAAGTGCGGCCTGCCAAGTGCCCGCGGCGCAATCTGAAGTGGGTGGGCGGCTAAATGGGTGGCCAGGAGGCAAGGCAGTGGCAAGGAGATGGTGCAGCCAGGGCTATTATTACGCGATATGCCAGCAGCAGCTGGAGAAAAAATCAATCAGGCCCCAGCTTTGACACTGCAGTGTGGCAACAGCAACAACAAAAAAAGGAAAATATCCCGGGCTCCGACCGGAAATGCGAAAATGCCAAAAGGAACCTCCGTGCTGTTTGCTTTGAGCTCGCAGTTCCTTTTCCATTACCAGAATGCGCTTTTAGATCAACCTTAGCCCCGTTGAGTGAACTCTTCACCGCAGTTTAGCTGGCTTTTCGCAACCCTTCAGTTATGGATTCTAGCCATTTCCACCAACCACCTTTATGCAGCATTTCTTTTTTTATTTCACCCAGGATGACGGCAACTCCAGCCAATGCTCGTGATTGACATCTGTCTATGGACTGGGGGCAACATGGCGTGCGATTTACGTGGCTTTATTATTACCTTCGCTACATATGTATTTTTTATGCCAGCCACTCGTCGGGCACGTCGAGGGTGTACTGTGCCGCGGCAAGTATGAGTAGTAAATGGCATGGCTGCAGCCCTTTCTGGCTCATAAATAATTTATATTCGGCCTTACGACATTATCAAAAGTGTCGATTTTTCCCTGTAATTGATTTCAATCTAGTACTGAAGGCAGGACTACCGTTTTTTAGTTTTTGGATTAGACCTTGGTCTGGTTTGCTGTATCATAATTCCCAAGAATATAATTGTATTTAGGTAGTACCTTTAAACACCCAATTCCTACTTTCCTTTCCTTTCCTTAAAAAGGAATTCATGTCAAAACACACTTAACCTGTGCATTTTCAGGTTCATAGTTGCTATAATTTTCCCATATGATGGCAGCTAGCAAATTGCATTTCCCGGCAGCTGAAAGAAACTTGCCGATCCGAGCCGGCACGCGGCTAATGAAATACACCAGACTGGCGTATCAATAAGGCAAATGAAGCACTACTCTCCCGGGGTCTGGGCGGAATCGAAATCGGGATAGAAGCCGGGAACAGGAAGAGGCCAGGACCCTGAACACTAATAAAGTTAACATGGCAAACAACTCCGGCAATGATGTGAACTTTATGCGCAAGCTAAATGTCGTTTGATGCAACGACACGATGACGACGAGGACGAGGATGACTATGACGAGGACGACGTCGACACGCTCCGTCGGATGCGTCCAGCTAAAAGCTTTTGGCAAAAAATCCAACAAAAAGCGAGCACACGAAAAGCGGAATAGATGCGCAGGTAGAGGCAGAGCTATTGGTAAAAGGTTTCCAGCCAAGTGAACCGTGCACTTAAACACCAAAAAAAGAAGAGATGACACCCAGGAGGTTGGTACCGACTCCGAGGTACCGCCTAGCAAGTCAAGATAATGGGGAATTGTTAGCGACTATTTTCAGGAAGGTTACAGTTTCAATTCATTTTTTATTAACCTTTTTAAAAGAAATATTCTGTATAAGGTATCGCCTTGTATGCTGCCTGCAATGGGTACGATTGCATCACCGTGCATCAAAATGCCAGCTCAAAATTTAGTTTATAGAAGCGCGTCGTTTATTATTCAATTATGTCAGCGGAGAGGGTCATTTTTTGTGTCCAGCAACCCAGGCGGGTTATGATGCTGGCCAGCATATTAAGTTCTATTGAAGCGAAGAAAGAAATGCAGTAATTCAATTTTCCATTTTAAGTACATTAGGATTTACGATTTATTTTGTTTTCTGGAAAACGTCCTCGTCTTTAGGTCCGTAAGCCAAGTGAGTGGTAATAATAAAACATAAACATTCCAGACTCACACGGGATAGTGCAAGCGGCTTTATTTTTTGTGATGGCCAACTTCGCTAAGCGCTCTGCTATTTTCATAACTTTGTCGTCCATCAGCACTCTGCTCACCTAGTCAGAGTGTGAGTGATGTTTAGTGGCATTCGGCATCGGTGTAGCTGGGCTGGCCAAAAGTTTGCTCATCGGGTTTATGGATTAGGCCATAAACCGATTTGTGTATGCGTTTTTAAGGCAGAATGTCTACAATTTTTGCCCCGAATGGAAACCACAAACTGTTTGTCAACAGTCGACTTCGTGTTTGCCCAATAAAAGACAAGAGGCCAAAGATGAGTTTGGAGAATGACAATTTGACCACAATTTCAGTTCGAAATGTGGTTGGCAAAAAGCCACAGGCTTGGCCAAAGGATTCGAGCCCACTACTTCGACAAAATCGCAGAGCTTATTCCTTTTGTCCGGGCTCTCCTTTTTTTCGCTTAGTGGATGGGCTCTAGAGCTTAGAGTCTAGGAAAAAACAATTTCATTTTTAAGTAGACACTGTGGATGGATTTTAAGTTCACAATCCAAGTGGCATTATTAATAACCTTTTCGGTGGCAGCCAATCGAAGACGGCGTCTTAATTAGCCCAAAAGCAACTGACAGGACAGCTGTCCTGCGACCACATCTGCACA